CAACAACGTCATTATTAAACAGCTGGGATCCTYGAATTTTTCAAAACTAATTCCTGGGGAAAAAAAAATGAGAGCAGAGCTCATGTGATAGAGTATAATGAATAGTGCCTCTTGTTTTCTCAAGAAATTATTCTGCACTCTTGAAAAATTATCAGCAGTGGTAATTTCAGCGCTTCTTTCATTTAATACTTCCTGCATTATTCACATGAAGCCTGTAAAGCTGTGTAAAGTGCATGTTGATATCCTTTTTGCTATACCAGGTGCCAGTTTTATTGCAGAATATAAATGCGTGTTATACAGACACCTATTTTTTCTCTCAGACAATAATGAGATATGTTTGTGTTATTTTAAATAGTGTTGGTTATATTAAAACATCTGGTTATGGAGAAGGGATATATTAAGCAAAGGGTTATGCCTGTCTCTCCTGGCATTATTCAAGATGCAAGGTCAAATCCTGCATTAAATGGGTGAAGGAAGGGTCAGTATAAATGAGACGTCAAAGACAGGTGTCCCTAACTGTGCTGTCAACTGTTTAAAGCTTAACATCTGCTGGCAAACTCCCTCCACACAAGACAGTAATGKACTCAAGTCATCCAGTTAGTGCATGTTCTGATTCTTTCCTCATGCAATTAATGTGTCTTTTAAACGCCATTCCGTAAACTTAACTGTCCTCCTGTCTTGTGGGCCCTTGGGCTTTGGGGAGCTACCATGCAAAGAGCTCTTGCATGCCATAAAGATGGAGATTTGCCCTAAATACAACCCTCTAACCATTTTAAGCAGAGCTGCACCAAATAGGAGCTTTGTGGTCACCACAATAAACAAGCGTGCATGAACAAGTACATAGGCATTAAAAGCATGTACACTCATTGACTGGAATTTAGAAAGTCTAGTATACATCCCATCATCCAGTCTCGAGAGAATATATAATTATCCCTTATATTCTACCGGGTATCACCCAAATTGCGGTTGTATCAATGTAGGTAGTTTGATTAACTTGTAGAAGAGTCCCATTGAATCAAACTTTTCATTAAGTGGGCCACTGATGGGTCGGTACAAGTGAGAAGTTCAAGACAGGTGCTACTAATTGTAGAGTTAACTATTGGAAATAGAAACTCCTCAGTCCTCTGGGGAGCAGTAAAGCAGATGGATGTACACAGCTGTTCCTCATGCTATCAAACACTCTCTAGTAGTACTCAGCTTATTTAGTAAGTGGTGCATGCAGAATGTGGCTAGTAAATGCCTGTCATTAAGATATCTTTAGCTAATGGTAGTAGCCACACTTTCAAATTTCTATAATGAAAGATATGTCAAAGATTTGCAGACAAGTTTGCTTCAAGCCCATTCTCAATTTTCAAGCCTACATCTCTTCTCGGTTTACTGAAAAGGTAAGGGATGCCAAGTTGCTATTCAAAAATCCCAGAGTGACTAGAAGCRGTCTGTGATTTTTTTTTTTCCCGGTCTGCCTGTTGTTAGTCCTTCTTTCAAGCATGGAGTTTCAATTTTACGATTTAGAAGGCAAGGTCTCTTCATCACAGCCTGATTCTAGGGAAATCTTTGCACTCTGTCATCAAAACCTCTGAGTTTGCATCAATATCTTTCCAAATTTCATTCACTTCTCTTCTTATAATTTTTAATGGAAATTACACCCCAATTTTTGTCATAACACCTTAAACCAGTGTCTGATGTCTTGTACCCCTGCTTATTCAGCTAAGGGAATAAAAGCTTGTGGCTGCTCATTCACCTCCTTCTCCCGGCTGTATGAAATAGAGGCTGTATCTGAATTAGGTTATTTTATCACATTAATTTCTTTTTTCTGTGTAACTGGGTGGAAAGAAGGAAGGATAAGTCCRTCCTTTGTACAAGCAGACTTCTTGCCATCAGATAGGCACTGCTCATTGTGACATGTGGTGTTGGTTTAACATAGCTGATTAGGTCAGCTAGCAAGTTAGATGGGGGAAAATCTGACTTTCACACCTTTAAGAATGTAACTTTTGTGGAGTAAAAGGAAAGAAAATGAAAAATTATTTACTTCTGAGTAATGGAAAATTTGCATAGCAATGTTAATTTTAGAGTTAGAAACATCCACTGTAATATCCTATTAACATAGACTGTAGATCCTTTCTGAACTCTTTTTAACTGAAACATATCTTCCACAAGCCTGTAATCTTTYATTTTAAAAATACCAGTCTTGGAAAATATACCACTATTATATGTTATGCTTTATTCATGGCTATGCTGAAAGGTTCAATCTTGTTTCTAGGGTCTTGGGAACAAATTTATCCCCCTTAGTGGTACAGAGAGCATTTAATAAAGCAAATGCTTTTCCTCCACTGAGCAGAAGGAAAAAAGGAGCAACTGGAAAAGGCCTTAGTGAATTGGGACACAGTTCCATGGAGGTCTCCAAGCTTCAGTAAGCAGAGCTGAGGAAAGTGGCGACGAGGTTGATCTAATGAGCGCATCATGACCCAATGAATCAATTGGCCGTTCCAGCTGTGCTTTGCTCTGCAGCTTATCTGAACTGATTTGTTCTGCCAGTTTATTGGTGCAACTGAGTGACTTCCAGAAGGCAGCATTGTTTAGATTGTCCACGATTTCCCCCTTAATTATATCATCTCTGTAGCCATCTTTGTAGTTTTAGCCCAAGCTCAGTACCTTTCATATGTGCGTTCAGCACCTTCCATATGGTGCAAAATGGCCTCTTTTTAGAGCAGTTTTCATCTTTGATGGTACGACTAGAGGTCTAGATGAGAGCTGAAGCTGGGTTTTACTCAGGATGGTACTTAACAAAGCGTGTTTCCCTGAGTGCTGCAAGGCTGCCTCTCTTGAGAAACTTTTCTGGGGGACAGACAGGACAGGACTAGATTGACACAAGAGGAAATAAACTTTCTTAAGGGGAAGGAGTTTTAGAGCTTTAGTGGCAATGTTAATGTAGAAGGGCCTTGCTGTGGGTGCTAATGAGGGATGAGCAAAGAGGTTTTTATGGAAGAAAAGACATTTAGGACTCTTCTGCTCTGAAAGCTATGTTTGCTAGTGTAACAGCAATATAACCTCCATATTTCGCTCTTTCCTAACTTCACTATTGGTTGTTGCTTCTAAAAGGTCACTTTTGGAGGTGCAGGAGTAATTAATTTTTGACCTTTCAGAAGACTGCAAATAATTCTAATTGCATGATGGTGGTTTAATAGTAGAAACACTTATGTCCTGATGCTGGATTTTGACTGACAAACTCATTTCATGTTAAAATATCACATAGCCATCAGGTGGCTGAAAGCTTTCAGCTGCATCTAGCCCTGTCTGGATTTGAACCAGTGACCTAAAGGCAAAAAGCTTTGTATCTCATTAGCAAAACACTCAGCTATGCTGTGCAGCCATTCGATTCAATTCAGTTCAATTTAAATGAAAAAATTCAGCTATGATATGAAACATAAGTGAAGCATTTTACATTTAATTTTCTGTCTGTGCTTTTTTAGAAAACATTGGTAGATGGAGAGAGTTTCAAAAGAGAGATGATTTAAAAGAAATTAACATGTAGCCACTGCCATGACTGTTTAAACGTCAAAAAACTCTAATCTAAGCAGTGTTATTTCCTGCTGTGACTAAAGAAAAAGCAGAAAAAAAGCAGCTTTGCTTCTTTGCTGTTCTAACATATTTCTAATAATAAAAATGATTGTCTTTGAACTCTCCCAGCCTTCCTCTGCTCTCCTTTGCTAAAGTCATTAAAATGATTAGAACCTCAAGCAGGGTTACAGTGTTAAAATGCTTGACTTTTCCCTTTCCCCAAACAGAACAGACTCGTTTTAAACATGGCACATATCACAGTAATCTCGTCTAACTCTTCTATCAGTCTGGCTAAATTTCTTCCAACAGATTTGCCCAAAACTGTGTTAAAAAACATAAATCACTGGATTAAACTTGTAGAGAATGATGAAAGCCGAATTCATGTATATACATGTGGTGGTACAAATGGACTCTTTTATTATTTAAGTTGAATGAAAGCAATAAATTTGAAACAGGTTTAACTGATGATATTGGTAATCCACAACAGATTTCATAAACGTTGTTGAATGAACATTGGTTTTGTTGAGTAATCCCCGGGATTAAAGAAGGGACACATAACTAAAACAGTCTGTTGAGATTCATATTATATTCCTGTTTAAGTTTTACCCTGAACGAAAACTGTAACGGTAATTGCATCTTTCAGCTATTAATGAATAGAATACTTGCATTAAAAACCCATTAGGAATCTAGAATGCATCTCCAAAGCAGACGTTCTCAGGAGCAGAGAACCTCTTCTCTGAAGTTAGCTTTGCTCCCTATAAATGCAGAATTTAAATTCATATGGGTAATTTTTGGGAGCCTTTACAGACTGTGTTAATTTCCCCCCTTTGGATTATAGGGAACATGATTCTCCTATAATTTATTCTGTCCTATAATTTAGGAAGCCCTTTCCTGGCAATTATATGAAAGTAATATTTAGCTGCAGGGAACCTTTACAGTGATTTGAATTTTCTAGATAAGAAGGATTTGAGCATAAGCAATTGTGGGTGTGTGCTGACACAGGCATCATTATTGCCTTTGTCTCCATTCTGTAATGACAGAACATACAGTAAAAATATATAGAGCAACAATACGCTAATCAATAAGATTTCACTAATGGGAAAAATAATATTGCTAAGAATAAATGATTATCGTATCACCAAATTACTGAGCTAAACCTCAACCTGAGCTGAAACACTGAAAACTCTGAAAATAATGGTTAAGACTTGACCCTGTAGCAATCAGTGAAAGTCAAAGCAACATTTGCAATGACTGCAGTAAATCTAGGATTTTACTCTTGAGTGTTCCTCACAAATGCAATTTGAATGGAAAGAGAAAAGGTTTAGAATCGGCCTTCTGGAAGCTTCATAAGCTGATTTTGTGGTGTTGACATTTTAGTCCTTCTCATCATTTAAATTCTTTGACAAGATGCACAATATCATGCTTCTGTTTTTATATTTTAGACCAACCCGCTTGGCTCTAACGTCTGAAGAGCTGGGTTGATATGGAAGCTGTGAAAAGAGCAAGACAGACTGATGCCTAGTGCAGGACGCGTGGAAATACACACGTGTTCATACTCACCGCAAGGAAGTCGGGAAAAGGAACCACACGTAGTAGATGAATTGAGCTTTTAATAAGTATTAATACATATTTTATGTAAGCTTTTAAAATCTTTTTGCACGCAGTCATTCCGGTGCTTCTTGTCAAATGTCTTTGATGCACAGGTTTAACACGTTTGGTTATTTAGACATGTGCTTTATCAGACAGGGAGAAAAATCACTCRCCTAAATTCCTTCCCTTTACCAATTCAGGGAAATATTTAGTACATCTGCTTAATTTAAAATATCTAAATTAWCCCATGTAGAACAACGAGAATCCTCACATGGTTTAAGTTAAGCAGGTGCTTAATTTGCYTCATGAACTCGGGGACATCTATGTAAGTTCGGCACAACATTTCCAATGTCATTGAAGTTCCTCAGATTTTACTTGCCTGCCACTAAGAGTAAAATTTGCCCCATGCTGCTTTTTCTCCTGCTGTGTATGTTTTAATTCCTGAACCACACTCTCCACATTAAATATTTCTCTATGACAATTCTAGTAACATTTTCTAATCACAAAATAATATTTACCATCTTCCCCCATGCGGTTTTCAGAACAGAGGGAGCTGCTGCAGTTCTGCAGAGGTCATGAACCTGCTTGATGAAGCACAGATGAATATAAAGTATTCTACTGAGCTTAACGGGCTTTATTAATGTGCAGATCCAATACACATTTTTATTTAAATTCATCTAAAGGCTAAAGGACACATTTTTCAATTGTTATTTTGCATTTAGTTTTGTGAGATTAGTTTTGCATGTTTTTAAAAAAGAAGTGTGATTAGATATCTACAAATTACTTTCCATTAATTATAGTCACTGCACCTAATAGTGCTTTCGGACTTTTAAGGGAAGAACTCAAACAGCAATTTAATTTGAAATAGATTTGTACAAAATTCTCTTGGTAGATGGAGAACAGCTCGTTGCCCCTAATCCATGCCTTCAATCTCAGTTTTAACTAAGACTTATACTTTTTTTTTTCAAGGTCTAAAATAATTCATTGAATAATTTTTTTTTCTCTCATTTTTTTTCCTCCGTCTCAGCCTCTAGTGGAGTTTTGTCCGTAAACAGAATACAATTATTACTGCCGGAGAAAATATTTTCAAAAGTTTAGTTTTTCTGACAGAGCCTTAACTGTCCTTTTCAYAGATTTTTAAAAATACTGAGAGAACTAAAGGTCTATAGAAAGGATAAATGAGCTTTCTCATTCATAGATGCACATTTCCCTCAGCATAGTAGTTCTGTCAGTTCTGTTGTTATCTTATATGCATCTTTAGGTACCTAAGTCACTGAAGCCTTTGGCACACATTTCCTTTGCAGAGCACTCTTGTTTGAGATGTTATCTTCTGCCGTGTGCTGCTTCTCCAGTGTGGAGATTGCTGCTCCCACTGGAGCTGGCTGGGACACACACCCACATCTCTATCTTGTCACTAAGGTGTCTGATGGCTTTAGTTTAAACTGCTGAACAAGGCACCTTTAATCTAAGCTCCTAGATTTTGCATTTAAGCGTCTGAGAAGCACGTACGTATTCATTCCATTCCCTTTGCTCAAGAGAGGGGCAGAAGAGATAGTAGGAAAAGGTATCTGGTAATTTTCTGCAATTACATTTGCTGCAGCCTATTCGTAAATGCCCTTAGTCATCTAAATTCCAGTTTTCAAAAACCTCCTAGTCATTCCTAATGGTTCTTCGTAATGTATTTAGGTGCCTAATTTACAGCAGGCCTTTGCCAAGGAGTGGCACATTACCATTCACACTGGTGAAAGCCCAGGTGAATGGAYTTTATCTGCCATTTCTCTTCTCATGTCCAGTCTTAGAGTGAAATTGTGCATGGGTGCTTKATAAGTCACATCAAAATGCCCACTGAGCAACTTTGCAGGTGCCCAGCCCTACCGTGTGGCTCAGCCTCACACACTGCATGCCAGCAGCATGTCCTAGCACCAGCTAAAATGAATTGCATATAGCATTCCAGAGGTCCTTTTATTTGTCAGCAGATAGAAGATATGTGTGCCAGTTAGGATTAAGCTAGTATTTCTATACTATAATGCAGCCAGCCAAGACCACAGGACTTTTGTTCTATAACCAGAGCTCTTTCCGGGCACAGGAGCTTCTGCTGCTCACCAGCTTTGCCATTCCGTATTTATGATGCCTAAGCAGAGGTGAACTGCTCTTCACTCCGCTTACCCTTACTGACTTCTCATTTGTGGTGATTTTATTGATACTAAACATGTTTGATTTCAGTATGTGAATAGTTTCTGTCAGTGTTGCTTTAGCTGCGTACATTTTTGTGTGTTTTGTGAATATTTGACATTGATGTCTGAATACTAAGGTCATAGGACCAGATCTTCAGTTGTAGAAAGAGTTGGCATAGCTTTGGAGATTTTAAGTCACCTTTATGCTTTCTTGTTCCTGAAATATTCTAATTAAGAAGCTTGCTAGACCTGTTCTTAGGCTGCTGTGTGGCACTGAGGAGTCATTGCATCAGCCTGAAGACTGAGCAAGTGCAAAGTCATCATTCCCTGCAGCCAGATCACCTTTGATAGCTGTAAGTTTTCACAGGGAGGTGAGGGGGTTTTGCTAAAGGTGGTTTTGGAAGAGTTTTGCTTGAGGTAGGAAAAGAAAAAGTCCATTGTTATCACAAAGTCTGACATTCATAACTGATCTTTGCTGTACTGCTGCCTGCACTTCCAGGAACTTCAAGGCAATACCATTTTGTTGCAGATAATCATAAACAAAACCAACTGCAGCGAGTTTACTGACCCAATGAGGAAGACTCTACTGGGATCACTGGGATATGAGGACAGTTCTTTACAGTTAAGTGAGGGAGCAGAGGATGGAATAGCAAGTACTTAGGGCAGGTAGATGGGAGGGAGAAAACTCTCAGGCTAAATCCTGCCTTGAGGGCCCACCTCAAGTGCTTGTGAAACAAACAGGAGGAGCTAGAACTCCACACACACATGCAGAACTACAGCATCGATGTGATAACTGAGATGCAAWGTAATAGCTCATAGGACTGCAGTGCAGCTAGGATAGGTGCATTTCAGGAAAGGCAAGCAGGGAAGGAGCTGTCATCCTTTACATGAAGAAGCAGCTCAAATGCAAGAAGATCATCTTTGGAGCAAGTGACAGGCTAAGGTGGTCAGAAGTGGGAGTACACTATCCTGTGAGGAGAGGTYGACAGACCTGGGCTTGTACACCCTGTGGAAGATGGCTTTGGTGGTCCTGACAGCTACCCTCAGGCATCTGCAGTGAGGTTGCCAAGAAGATGGAGTTAAGGTCTTGACTGAGGTAAAGAGAAGGAGATGAGAAATAATGAGCATAAATTGATAAATGGGAGGTTGTAAGTGGATGTAATACAAAAAAAAAAAAAAAAAAAAAAAACAAAGGAAAGGAAAAAGGTATTATCAGTATGTTTGGACTTTGGAACAATTTGCCCAGAGGGATTGTGAGATCTCACTATCCTTTGCGTAGTCAAGATCTAACTGGTCCAAATTTCTACACAGCCTAGTCTAAATTCAGTATTAATGGTGCTTTGAGCAAGAATTTAGACAAAGTGACCTTGCTAGCTCCTTTGCAACTTGAATGATTATATGATTTATATTTTTCAATGTTTAGGCCTGTAAACTCTAATTAAACAAACTGTTATTCCTTGTATGTTGTTAACTTGTAGGGTAGAACACATGTGCAAATCTTGCAGGATCATTCCATGTTGCTTAAGTGCAAGCATATGGAAGAAATAAAAGGTAAACTGAAAAAAAATCCAAGGACAAAAATTTGGTGGTGTTTCAGCCTACCTGCTTTGCTGTGCTTTATCATGCAGCCACCATATGCTAGCATTGGATTTCTTCACCTCAGAGAAAAATTGATATAATTTGTTGACTCCTGAGGTGCTGAAGGGTTTTGCGGTAGCTTGGGAAAAAGAAGCTGTTTAGCACAGGTGGTTCTGCTGTTGTAATGTGTTGGGAGCCTTCAATGTTAAATGATCTTCTGACTAGCACTTACTCATACACGYGCTGCGATGAGGGGCAGGATTAGAGTGAGTACATTGGCCTGTAGTGTAAATTATGTAAGAACTGAGGCTGGCTCAGGTGCCAGATGGGTCAGGTGGATTACACTTGATTAGCCACCTGGGTCAGGTATCTTGGTACCCATCCATTCTTAGTTGCAGTATGTACCAGTGGAAGCTGAATTCGCAGTGGAGCAGAGAGCTTAAGTTGCAGTGTCCTTGTCGGTTTAACTGAGACCTGTAGCATTATATCATTGTGTTTATGTTGGATAATGCAAGTAGGAGATTAGCTTACTGTCTGTGAAACTTAACTACTGTTAGGGCAGACCCCAGCCCTGCTAGTGTGGAGCAATGTGTTCTTCAGYAGTTCTTTGGTGCCCACATCTTGAGAAGACTGTGTTTAGGAGAAATACGAGAGAAGATAMTGATGAAATTGTTGCCTCATCCAAATTCTTGAATGAATTGGCTSCTATTTAAGGGCATGTGTTCCTGTTCCTGTCCTCATGTTCAGTTATCTAGGTATAAATCAACATATGTCCAAATGCTACAGAATCATTTTATGTTCTATTAGCATTTCCTGCTCCTGCCTCTGCCTATAATGGTTGGATATGGCCACAGCTGCTGTGCGCTGCAGCACTGGCCTATATACACAATTATTTGAGGATTTGATTTTTAGGGAGAAATACCTCCCTCTCTTTGTACATGGTGGAAGAATGCGGATTCTGGGGACAGCGAAAAGGACAACCAGTGGTTAAGAAACCAGATCCAGGCACCTCTTTGCAGGCCAATTTGGCACTCTAGAACAGCAGCAATTTTTACTACACTGGCATTCCTGTCTTTTACTTGTCCATCTGTCAAGCAGAAGCAGTTGCTGAGTTCTCAGGCTCAAGAAGCTTTCGGGGATTTTGCCATCAATTAGATCTCTATGTAGTAAGTGAGATGTTAGCGTTAAATTTGGATCATGGGACAAAATGTGACTGATAATGGTCCTGGGGCTATGCGCTGACTTTGGCTAAATCTGAAACATTCATTCATAAATTAAGAGAGCATGCAGGCAGGTATAGCGTAACTGCAGCCCTTGCACACAAAAGAACATGTGCACACATGCACACACAATTAAAAGGCAACCTCGAACTCGAGGAA